AGATATTAGAATAAAAAAAGAGTTATCTAATTATTAAAAAAAATGAAAGAAACCTCCACTGCCGTCGGAAAATGTAATTTTGAAAAACTGAAACTTATGCCTTCGTATGATAATACTTATTTCTGTGTCGTTAAAATATATCAAATCTTAAAACTCTTAAGAATAGTAACTGAAGGTAAATCTAGATTGCTGAAAATATTGATTTTTGTTTTCCGTGTTATGGTTTAACAAATTTTGAAGGTGTCAAAAAGATAAGTGAAAGAATGTCTGACCTAATGACGTTCGCAAAAACAAAGAGCTACGAAAGTATAAACTTATGTCAGGTTAACATGGTCCACCTACAATAAAACTAGATCCTCGGAACTAATTTAAGGAGACCGCCTGAATACTGCAAGTCTTACTGTAGTTCTTTCTGAACATTGATGTGTAGGAACCAACGCAGAGAATCTGCGCATTCCTTATAATCCTGTTAGGAGTTTACAGAATGAAAAAATACGTCTTCACTTCAATATAGTTTTATTAACAATAGATAGAAAAGAAATATAACAGAAAAGAAGAAAGGAAAGGGTGTTCAATAAGGGTGTTTGGTTTGCAGTGTTATTTGCAAAGTTATGGAAATCTGCAGGAAAAAGAAACGATAAAACTTTTTTTCAATGAATGCCTAGCTTTAGAGTCCGAAAGAAATAGATTTTTTGGAAGATACTTCTTTGTCAGTTTATCAGATTGTTCATCGCAAAAGACCTATTAAATTATTTAAATTCGACGGGATCGATTTAGTCTCTACTATTCTCTACTATTTAACTTGAAACACTAAAAATACCAAAACTCAACCTGTTTTTTTAATGCACTAATAAAAATCTTAATTACAAAATCTTAATAATAACAAAAAAATGTGAAGACAAACACTTCAGAGAAATGTTGAAATACCGGTAGCGTAACTATCATATGTAACCAATGAGCAGATAGTTCTTAGATCTATTGTGATCTTAACCAAAATTGTATTAAATCGTTGAACCAGTATCTAACATTCATCAAGCTTAATGCTTAGAAGTTCGCTAGCGTTTTTGATATGCGAATCTATTGCAGCAAAAAATTGAGGAAGTATATTGAAAATATACCAAATCGTCGTCGGTCGTCGGATTCATAATGTAAAGGCCTACAAGAGTTGCACACGGCAAAAAATCATATTTAACATACTTACTAACTTACAAGGACTAGATAGATTATGTGTAAACTAGAAATGCTGAGTTGAATAACAATATTCATAGAGGTTCATTTGTAATGTGCACCTCTTCATAATTTATATTCAGTGAAAAGCAAAATAAGATATTATATGGATGTTTAATGATATTGATCATTCAGGCAGTTAGGTAAACCGTAAGAATTTTAAGATACGCATCTAATAATTTTTTAAAATATTAATGGCGAGGAACATGATTCATCTGAACTTTAGTTTCATAAAACAATTGAAAACAGCTTGGCAACTGGATTTTCCACAAATTAAAGTGGAATGTGACAACATGATACCGAAGTGGATCATTCACTTTCAAAGAAGTCAAGACAGTATTTTTATCAGAATATGAGAAAGGGTCACACTTGGTTGCTGACCCAAAACTAACATATGGGTCCACAAAAATAATATTTCCTTTCCTTTATTAGAAATAATTCATTCAATATCTTTTATAAAACGAGGTTTAACTACATGTATTGTAGTTTGAACTATTACAGGTGTGCGCAGGAAGGAAAAGTTAGCAGTGCTGAGTGTGTTCATAAAGTGGACAAAGGACTGCACCCTATAGCACAAAAATAATAGAAATCTTAATTTGTGGGCATTACTCGGCATTAAGGGAAGTGGAAAAATGGATAAAATAAAAAGTGAATAACATCTTATTTACGTAACTAAAATCATTTAACAACATTTAATACCTAGAACCAAGATTTTGGGAAACATTGCCAGATAATGAAGGCCAGGTTTATGCGTAAATGTTAACGATACCTTCTGCTCACAAAGTACTCGGATTTTGTAAATAAAACACAAATTTAAATTTTATTTCAAATTTATTTTATCTCCTTCAAAATATGCTCCTTCTGAAGCGATACACATATGCCAACGCTTAACTCAATCTTCCATACACTTTTCGTAGGCCCGTGAGGGTATGGCTTTTAGTTCCTTCAGCGAATTCTCTTTTACCGATTCATTCGACTCAAAACGATTACCACGAAGGGGCAATTAGAGTTTCGGGAACAGGAAAAAGTCGCACGGATCCAAATCTGGCGAATATGGTGCCAGAGCGATGGCAATGGTGCAGTGTTTGGTCAAAAAATTGCATACAGCAAGAATTTTCCATAGTAAAAATCGCTAAATGCACTTGAGGTAGTCTCACATTAACAGCTGCTGTAAACAAACTAATTCACAGATGGCGCTCAAATTTGTACCATATGTCAAGAAATTTTTTCAACATTTTTGAAATAGGTCTATTAACAAACAACAAAGTCCGGATACTTTTTGAGTTGAAGGTACTTTATAGTTTTATTTTGATAATATCCGACACTACAAAAATCGGAACATTAATATATTTCTTAAAGTAACCAGAAAATCAAATATTTTTAAATTAATAAACAATTTCAATCTTTTTTTTTCGTTTGATTCTATCGATTTTGGTCGTTAGAAACAGTTTTAATGATTTCTTTTAGAAATCCTTTTAAAGTTCAAAACAATTTATAAAACAAGGACTTGATTTGTCCTAACAAATCATATGTCTTAAATTGTAGTCTCTTTTTTTGACGCTTAATCTGCAGTTCAATTAAAATAAATTTAAAAGTAACTTTAGTAATTGAATTTTTACACAACAAAATAGAAAATTTAAAATAAATAATATATTACAATGTAGGTATGTACTAGGAAGTGCAAGTCAACAGTCCTAAAAAAAGGAAGAGCAATTATAGAGAAAACTTTAATAGACAGAAAAAACTTTTTAATTGGATATCACTTATCAAATTGAATATTGAGTGTAATTTTTTTATAAAAATTTTGTTAAAGGAAAAGTCATTGGTTTCTTTTGTTAACTTGAAATTTCTTCATTTTATATTGTTAAATTTATATACATGAACAATTTTTTCACAATAAAATTTTATAAAGAATATATGCAAATTATAATACACACATATACAACACTACGTACACACAATATAATTTTAAAATTAAAATATACTAAAAAATAAATTATTTTCTACATAAATTTAGTTAGTTTTGCTTAGGTTAGTTATTTGTAACATACGATATTCCATATTCGATCATTATATTTTTCTTTACATTCCCAGTTTCGTTTTAGTTTAGTCGTACAGTTGGTAGGTAGTTTGTGAAGGCTACATCAGTTTGTACATTCGTGCAATATGTAGCACCATCGACATATGTATCTACATATGCCTAGTTTTTGTCATGGCCGATTGTTACGAATTATATCATTTGTGGGTTTTATAAGTCAAAAATTCATTAAATTTTCATTAACATCAGATAATATGAGATGTTATCTCATATGCACCTTGACATATATTTTGTGTTTACCACACAAATGATATTTATAAAAGATTCTAAGAGCATGACTTCTTCTTCTTTGACTTCCTTGCGCATTTGCACAGTTGAGTGTTCTTCTTGCGACAGGAGGTCGTAACTTGACAGGCCTAATAATAAATAAATATATAATATAAATGGATTCTACAACTTTTATATATTGATATGCATACCTGCTTTTGATAACGAAGGCGTTGCTCTGGTGTTAGTTTACACCAACACTTAGCTGCTTTTTTAATAATTTCTCTCGGTTCAAGACCACAAT